TCTCATCACATTGTTAAGGTTTTGATAAGAGCTCAGTGCTCAGATTTAGATTGCCCTATCAGGTAGCGAGTTTATTGGTTCATTCCACTAAGCGGCGCGACGTTGGGCCATAACTGAGAGAGCCAACATTTATCTGCTGCCTTGATTGATCATTTACTCCAAGGAACAAGCTCCAGGGCATGTTTCTTTTACAACATAAAATGCACTCCATCAGTCTCAATCATAAACTCTATAAATCTTTGGTTATTTTGACCAAACCTAACATTCAGTTGGAAAAAAATTTATGTTTAACTACTTCGTTAAAAATACCAGTGTGACTTTAATTATCAAAATCCAAATCTCATTAGTACCAAAAATGTTCAGTAATAGCACTAAGCATGCTCAGAGAAACGGATATACTTATTGAGTCATTTTAGAGGAATTTTTTACCGAAGACACAAAAATAACTACATAATTGGAAAGAACAAAGAACATACTATAATGGACTTACTGTCCAAATTTGACATGATACCGTACGATTAGCAGCCTTTGAGTTCTGCCTCCCAGAAGGCAGTGATGTCGGCGAGGATTGAGTTGAATGCGTCGCCGCCGCTATAGCTGCCACATGTACCTAATGCGTCAAGTAGGTATACTGCGCACTACGGTGGTTATGTTATAAAAATAGGTTGGGTTATCATCAACGAGCACATAATATAATATATAATACGTATATATAATATAAATATTTATATTATGTGCTTGTTGGTTATCATAGATATGTTTGTAGGACTTTCCTCGTTTCGTTATGGCATATATAGCCCTACAAACATATTTATGACAACCTAACCTAACAACCACTGCAGCGCGATGTATAAGGGTGGTCTCAGACTTCCCATGTAATTTAAAAAATTTGAAGTTAAAAAACGTGGAGTAATTTTGTTTGAGATGATCTAACAACTAATGACAATATTCTGTGTCAAGTAATAAATCAATCAGCTGTTTGCTATGATACTGCATTGATTGTAATTAATACTAGGGGCCCATTTGCAGCAAATTTCTGCCCTTCACCCCCGTTGGCCATTCATCCCTATATGCTGTGCACCATTCCTAAAATATGTACTCTCCTTCGTAGTCACGGTCTTCCTCTAACAAGATCCCACATAGCACAGAATATCCTCAGGATATCTATCCTACAGAGTTCCCAAAATGTCCCAATAGACCTATCCCTGGGACATTCCTGGCATATTCCCGTTACAATAATTAATTTAATTTTTTTGAGGGTTTTTGATCGAGGGACAGGAATATCTTTGGCATATCCCTAGAATATCCACGATATCCTTTTTTCATAATTTATTTGTAAAATCCACTAATATCTCAAGTACTTCTCGAAATATGCTACCGAATACAGCTTTCCCACACAGCACAGGATCCTGACCAGTTCCCACGGGGGTAGGTTGGTTCCGCATTTGCTACCTACACTAATCCGGGTCCCGTAGGGTGGGTTATAATCTGGTAGGTCAGTTCCGCATTTGACGGCTTCAACAATAGATCTCTTGAAATTGTAAAGATCAGCGAAGCGTACAAAAATGCCAGTCAACCGAAATAATCCATAAAAATAAGCAAGTTCTGAATGAGTTAAAGTTGAAGTAGCATGTTCCAGTTGTAACGATTTCTCTAGTTTTTTACCATAGCTGATGCAGATATTTCTTTCACCGATCCCAATCTTAAAGGGCGAAGATTATTATTGATTATTATTATATTGAAGATTATTATCCCAATCATTATTGCGAAGCCGCAATCTTAAAACTAAAAAAATCACATTACACCAGCTGCTGCTTAAATACGCTTATGTTACAAAATGCTAATAGCTCAGTTGGTAAACTAAACCTGTCACAGGAAAAACTTTAAACTTTGTAAGCATCTTATAACAAATTAAAAATATAAAACAAAACTAGTGTACCTGTTGCTCGAAATCGAGCAGTTGTCTAGTACTGGCACTACAGAAGCTATATTAAAACTAGTAGTCATAATTTTCTATGAGTTTAAAAGACCCTATTAAAAGCGTATGCAACTAATGGAAATACATACGCATAGATACGCACAGATACGCATAGATACGCATGGATAATAACAGTTATAATAAACACGTCTTGTAAATACTGACAACAAACTAAATATGTTCTCTGCTGTATTCCCTGTAGTAAACAATGCGGTGTAATATTTCTAGGAATTCCCAAAAAAATATTTCCTAAAATATGGGAATCGGGGGAAGAGAGTATTTGTAGTACGCGAGGATGGTATGTGGCTGCAATCACTTGGAGAATTCAAGCATCTAGACCGCGTGCTATTCTGTGTGTTCATAGATTTTTTACATAACTATTATCACAACTAATCATAGTGTGTACGGTATCTGTGCAGTATTATTACTAAATAGTCAAATCAGTATTATTACTAAGATCAATTTTGTTAACATTTATGAAACAGGTGATTTTCTTACATCCTAAACCTAAAATATGTAGAGTTTGTATCATAAATATTCCGAATTTCGAATCAGATACAAGCGTATCCAATCTTTGGATATTTAACTTAAATTTGTTCAATATTCATTCTACGTCGGCTTTTAGTGAGGCTAATTACCCTTGTCTAATGGAGTGTAACCCACCTTTGTCAATATAAATGCGGAAATAACCTACCTACTTAAGGGGCCCACCAGATTCAAATGCGGAACGAACCTACCCATTTATGGCCCTAGGGTCATTATCTGCGGAACTAACCTACCACCGTTCCCACATATCCCACATAGATCCCAGGATTTGAGAATGTCCCTAGGATCACTCTAAGATATTGCACATATCCAACACAAACGAATTCATTTTGAGGATATCCTGGGGACTTCCTATGGATATTCTCGGTAGGCTACCTATATTAAAACGTATTTTATAGAATTGGATGTCATTTTTCAAGTGGCAAGTGCTTGAGAAACGTTATTAAAAAGTATTTCAATACTATATTTAATTAAAATACTTAAGTGGTAAAAGTGCTTTTCGGACAAAATATTTATTATTTAGTGTTTTTGTGTATAATATCCTGGTGGGATATCCCAGGGATCAGGATTTGGGTGGACATAGGGAGTTCCCAGGGAGTTCCCCAGGATATCCCGAGGACATTGCGGGATATACAGAGGATATCCCCCATATCCCACTGGGATATCCCCAGGACATTCCAAGGATATTCTTGTGTTGTGTGGGGATACGGTACATTTCAACACTGCATTACATTCTAGCCTAAAAACAGATCACTAAAATCAATACACAAAATACGCAAATGTTACATCAGCTGGTGTACCTATTTAAAACAGCTTATAGAAACACTGTCTGTAGCAGTACTTCTATTAGAAAATGACTGGTTCTTTGATGGCCTATGGGGCAGAGCAGGCCACTTCTATTTTAGACACTTCTAACACTTCTTATACTTTTCCCACTGCCCTTGGACCTTAAGCTTTCAAATGAATCCTCAACAGCCATGCTACCTTTTTGCTAGCTCAAGATATTTCGTGAGGACCGATTTGCTTATGGAATTAAATATATATAGATTTAACCAAATACACTAGTACCATAGATAAAACATACTCCTCAAGTACTCCTTGAGGAGTATGTTTTATCTATGCTAGTACCCTCTGGTGAGATGGTCCTAACTCCATCTATTTTATTGTCTTCAATTTTTTACATTACATGGAGAAGTTGTCGCAGTTTTTTTAATGTCCTGACTTCAGTTCCAGTGTCCTTGAGCTCGGCACAGGCATATGCTCACCTTTGTTTGTCTCCTTTGAATTCTCCCCTCGCTCATCCTAAAAACGGCAAAAATTGGAGCACAGACAAGTTGCCTAGAACGAATCAAGCGAGCCGAATAAACTATCCCAAGCACACCGAGTACATTATCGCGCTCGTCTTAGCTCACCTATATTTGGCTAGTGTGGGCTATTTTTCGCAACACAAGTTCGCCGCTATAGCAGGGGACAATTATAATTGGTTTGAATTACTAAATGCTGTTTAACATTGTTATAACCCATGCAGTCATGTTGAGAATATTGCGTTATGACTCAGGGGTCGCAAATATTCACTTTCATTGATTGTGGTTAAGCTTGAACTAAAATAACCTGAGAAATAAATTTTAAAATATTAAAATTACCCCCCTTTCCTTTGGAGGTTGTGGTGTTCCATACCTCCCAAACAGATCATAGTACCACAGGACCAGGACCACAGGACTACAGTCTGTACAAAAGTATATTCTAAATCCAATCTCACTTATAGTAATTTATAGAATTCACTTAATATTACTCCTAACAGTAATTTAAAGTAATCGTAATTCCTTAATTACCCGAATTTGCGACCCGAATTTTGTTATATCTGTATGTAATCAATCCGTATTGTTATAGAACATACGCTGTAGATGATCGTTATTAATACTTTAATACTCTACTTTAATACTTTTTGATAAAATGGCGATTGGCGACCATACAAAGTAGGTATCTTAAACCAAGTATGAATGGAGATGAGTGAAGGATGAGCGGCGCGATCTTGTTAGTGACTAAGGCCGACATATTCCTTAGACCATTTTAGACACAGCGGTTAATTAATAGCCCATACAGCTAATGGCAACTAAGGGACAGTTTATAGTGAAATCCGAACCACATTTTTGCCTTGGTATATACGAATTGGTCTAATTATCAGGATAGTACTGCAGATAGTCGTAGTACTCACTCGTGCAGACGTTAATCCACACCAGAGAGTATCGCATCCTCAGTGCATGCCTATAAATATCCACAATCTGTTATTAGGTATATAAATGCTGCATGTAGATGGTAGATTAATTATAATATTTTAATACTTTAATCTATGCCTATGCTAATAATTTAGTTCTTACAGGTCTATGTCTCAGAGCATGTGTTACATTTACATTTCTTATTCTTGACATTGACAATATTGTCATCTGTCTCTGTCATCAAAAAATGATCAAATCTGAGTCGATAGTGCCTAGTTTTTCTTCATAGTTTTCCATCGTTGGCCAATTATCAAAATTTTTAAATTATGTTGTTATGAAGTAGCAAAAGTGCATTATAATCTAGTGTCGTTTAGTTTTTTAAGATGGGGGGAGCTTATGGAAAAGTAAGTTATCTATATTGCTTGGCTGAGATAGCTTAATATTCAGGCACAAGGAAACATAACCTCAAAGTGGTTTCTAGGTTAATAATATTAAGCCAAATATTTTGAGATCTCCTCTGTACTAAAACCTAGTAAGCCCTAATGCCGAATATATTTAAGACTTGGCATGTTATAACTAGGCTGCACTTTAGTCAACGTCCTACACTCATTCGAATGAAAAATATCGATAACTTATAGGCTCTAGGCCTAGGCCTATTGATTATTCAATAAGAATAAGAAAGTTTATTGCCAAGTTGTACATAGAATAAGCATTGTCAAATTACATTAAATAAAATATTATTGTATTAGGGCCTACTAAACATGTTCATAACTTATCTATAGGTAGGCTACCGTAACAAAGATTGAGAATAACGATTGAGAATTCTTAATTTATAATATGAAAGATTCCGCTTTAATTTTATATTTCATGAAGTCCTTAACTGACTAGAATAGGTTAGCTGCAAGCCAGTCATAAATTTTTGACTTAAAAAGAGGAAGAGAAAGGCTGTCTGCCTGAAGAGGCTCAGGCAGCTTAAATTAGGCTATAAAATTTCACACAATTAAGTTTGAAAGAATTATCTGTGATGGCCAGCCTGTGATGTGGTAGGCTATATCCAGTTGTTCCTTATTTCGTGTACCTATGGGGGAAATAGTAATTCTGCCTGGCGGAAAACTCATTGAGATTAGCTTTAGTGTATATAAGTACATTGTAGATGTATAAGTTAATGATTGTGCAAATGTTTAGTCTGACAAAAAGTGGCTTGCACTTCTTGCAGTGCTCCGCAGGGCCAGCCCCCGATATAGTGCGGATGACTTCTTTTTGTATTAGTAGAAGCTCATGAACATGGGGGTAATGGCCCCAAAGTTGGATTCCATATTGAATGTGGGATTGAAACAGTCCAAAATTGGCTAAGTTAGTTTGAGATATTCAATGTCTACAAAAGACTTGAGTTTCCAGAATAGACATGAAACTCTCGATAGTTTTTTGCTTAAATTTGTGATGTGAATTTTCCAATTTAATTAGGTTGGCTATGTTAGGTTAGCTTAGAACAGATTAATTTCTTTCCATATAATAGACTAGGGCCTATACATTTTAGCCTAAATATCAGCTGTCAATTTGTAATGTATCGTAAAGGAAAAAAATCTATATATCGAAAAAAATCATCGATAATAATGAATGTTCCCTTTAACAGCAAAGTACCAGAAATCGTTATATGACAACAGAGATATTTAATTTAGGCCACCTTCTAAAATAGCCTAGTATATGAATATGCTGCAAAATGAAACCATTTTTACTATTTTCTTTGAATTTAACAAGTACACTTAAGTTAAGTTGATTGTTTAGTGTATGCATTGTTTAGGCGTAGTTTATGATACACAACAGATAAAAGGTCCTAATCAATTATTTTGAACATTATTGCCACCAGGACTGATGTACGAATTATATGATAGATTGCGTACCTTTTTATTACGTCTCCAGTCCTTAATGTAGTCAAGGGTGAATAGTTTCGGGTCAGAAATGATCCATTTTCAAACCCGTCATCAAATTGGTTGGTCCATAAATCCTACAAAAGTTTTTGTTATAAGATATAAATTATGTGTCGACGTGTATTTATAGGTAGCCTATCTTAACAAAGAATTCTGTCGGATTTATGGACCAACTAATTTGATGACATGGGTTTGAAAATGGGTCATTTCTGATCCGAAAGTAGTCACCCTCGACTACATTAGGCCTAAGGACTGGAGACAGAATTAACACATTCACTGCTAATGATATACATGTAATACTTTTATAAATGGCTAAAAAACATTAACATTAACATGATCATGTTAATTGAGTGACAATATATCTTTAATTAAATAAATTTCATACTATAAATTGTGGATTAAAATATATTATGTAATTATATACATCATGTATTATATATCTGCTAATATACTTATGACGCACAAGTGCGTCATTAGCAGTGAACGTGTTAAAAGGTAAAGTAAACTTGGCTGATGTCTCATCACACAATATTATCATGGAAAATTGCTGCACCACCATAATTTTGGTTTAAAAAATGTAAATACAAGTTCGAGTCATTGGAATTTATAGTCTCCCTCACATAACCAGTGTTTAAAAGGAAAAGTTCTAAAATTCCCTGGAGAATATATATATATCTATAAAGGTCTCACAAAAATGTACCTGCCCAATGGCCAATTCAGTTAGGCGCACATCATGGTCGATTTTTCATGTCCCCCGACTTAAATAGGCCAATTGAGTGTTCTTTGATGACAAACAATTTTTATTTTTTCAGGGCACAAACAGAACAGAAAATGAGAAGGAAAAAGCATTTGACTTCAAGAAGTTAGACGTAAGTCAATTTTTTACATCTAATTTAATCTCCTGGTAGGCTACGGTGTTTTTTGTGATTCAAAAGTTCAAAGTACGGTAGCTTAGGTTGTCTGCTGAAACACTGACAATGTTTCCAATTGAAAGATGGCTAGCTTTAAGGCCAGTTTTCCTTTATGTCAAGTTCGGTTGATAAACACGGCATCCAAGTTTTGGCCCCAACTCAACACATGAAGGTTAGGTACGGTAGGCGTTTTTCTAGGTAGCCTACCTACCGTTCAGCAGTGACTGAGTCAGTCTGTCCCACACCCCGCTACCAGTACATAGACCACAGATTTATACAAATACAACATTTTAGGCTGCTACATAGACATGCTCCTCGACTATTTTGGTATATATTTTATCGCGCAGTAGTGAATTGTGTAATTTCAATTTGGTTTAAATTTGTAACTGTAACTTTGTGTTAACAACATAGTTAAAGTGTAACATAGTAACATAGTTAAAGTGATTTTATTTCAGTTAGCCTACTTTAAATTTAAAAAAAAAGGATCCAATAAATTCAACTTTATACAAAAAATAATTTAGTTCAACCAACTTGTCGAAAAATGCAGGCGCTAGACAACAAACACTACATGCACAATCCTGCAGTAGTACTCTCCAGGAAAACACACTTTACACCTAGATTAGATAATTTGGTTATCCAGGATGTGATGCTGGGACTAAGCTATCTTCCATATTCTCAAAAAGGGTAAAAACATGTTATTTAACTTACAATAAATTATTTGGAAGATAGGCTAGTATGTTTCGACTCTTAGAGAATCTCTATCTATAGCTCAACATTGCTTATTAAAAAGCGTCTTAGAAAATTTATGTTAAAACTATCAATTAAGTTACTGTTTATTTTGTGTCTAGTATGTTGGTTATGTTTAACTAAACAAAAATATGTATCCTCTTTAAATTTTTTGAAGTTACAGTTACAGTTTTCTTCTTTGTTTCTTATGATCGCAAGAGCTCTTTTTAGTTTTTATTTATAAATGTATATATTTTTTTTTAATAGTTTTGCACTAGATGTAGTTTCTTAGTGCCCATCGTGATTTGGTAGGAACTAAACAATTTGTTTTTTTCAGGCAAGAGTAGATCACATTTATGTCGATGGATTAAGCAGAACGAAAGATGACATCATACATAAAATTTGCCATGACTTATTTCAATCCACCAATTTTGAGGAGGTAAGTGCTTAATCTGTTTGAATTCACAGTAAACAAATAAAGGCTCTCCTCTAAGCTATTATTGAAAAATGTCAGTTTACTATTGCTTTTGTGAACGAAACTGATCACAAACCTCATTGGCAAGATTTTAAGTGCAGTATTCACTTTAACTTTCAACTATGAACCATGTGGGTATCTCGGCGAGCTTGCTACACAACTGGATGCATTTTGAGAGAAGAAACACTCTGATACCAAGATGATTGTGGTATTCCCGTTTCCTGTTGGAAAAACACTATTGAACACACTGTTGAAAGTGTTACTACTATCATGGACAGCCGTCGTAGGTTGGTGAATAATAAATTCGCTACCAAAGTCTGTCATTAATTGATGATGTATTTTTCAGATGTTGCAGCATGCTCACTCCACCAAAACTAAACTTGAAAGCATCGGATGTTTTCACAATAACATAGTCATCCATCTGGACACCAGCTCCGGCCCTGGAGCCACACCTGAGTATGGTTATGACGTGAGTGTTTAGTTAGACTGATATTTCTAGTTTTATCAAATTTTCCTAAAGTGCGGCTAGACTGGCACCTATTTCAATGCTCCTCAGCACTTAGATGCTGGCACGTTTCCTGTAGTCTGCAGATTACAAGATGCACTAGGCTATTTTAAACATTTCAATTGTTTGATTCTACATTAGTCTATAAAAGTTCATTCACCAACATTGGAATTGGTGGTGTTCAATAGGTATTTGTGTAAAATCACTAATAAAATATAAAAAGATGGGTGTTGTGGCTCAGTCCAAGAAAACAAAGGAAGTTCTGGTTCTTTGTTTTTACGTTTTTGGCAATCTCTGCAACCGTGAACACATACTTACTTACAATTCCTGGATGTCCTTCATGTAATATTTTTAGAACCACATGACGTAATTTTCTGGGGATGACAATTCAACCTTTCCAGAACATCAGCCTGTCTTCAAAGTGTAATTCCCCTCTCTTGTCATAGTAGGGGTGTTCCTCAGTTGTCAAATTTTTCTTATTAGGCCATCCATTTTTCATACGTTTTTTGTGAGTGTTACGAGCAAAGACATACAGAAATGTGGCTTGAAACTAGAGGGTACTAGGCAGAGGAGTGGTGGGGTGGTAGCCATCTTGGTGAGAGAGGCCTGCTTCACTCCATACGTCCAGTGCCGCCTCTATTTTTACTCTCTGCTCTGTGATACTGATCAAACTTATTCCACCTTGTGCTAAGAACTTTGTTATCAAACATTTCTTTAACGGTGAAATATAGAGCTATTCTCTTTCTCTACACTTGACTAAGTCCCCCAACGGACAAAATATCTGTATATCTGCTGTAAACATATATTTTCTAATATGGCCTACGTGTAATTTTTTAAGGTAGGTAAGCTAGCTGCTCTCCTCTTTATTAAAAATCCTGGCCTATAGCCTTTCATTGAACAGAACTAAATTGTTATATTGTTTAATTTTAATTTTACTTACAATACGGCTTGCAAAAACAAATGTTTTTTTACAAATTCATTCTCTAATGGATAATCAGAAACATTGGAAAATTCAAAATTAAACTTGTTCAATACACAACCAATCAACAAATGGAACATAGCATAGCAACCCTGCATCACTATTAATGTTTGTTGGAGAGAGAGAGAGTCTAGTGTTGTGGGGCTTTGGTTCCCTGAGGTCCCGGGTTCAAATCCCTCAAATGACCAATGAGTTTTATCCATCTGATAAATGCTGTAACCCTAGGACTACCCTGAAGTAATGTGTAAAAGAGTTCCGGGCTAGAATGTAGCGTCCTAGGGTGTGAAGGTGGGACATAAAATGTTTGTCAAAGTTATTGTTCAATGCTAATTCAAGATGATATGAGGTACTTTCCTCAATCACCATTCTACTATAACCTAATAATACTTCCCGTTGTGAGATTTATCTAATCTAATGTTTAGGTAACATTCAAAGTGAAAGAGCTGAGGCCCGTGGCTGGAGGGGTGGACACTATGGTGGGATTGAACAACGAAGCTCTGCTGACTGGCCGAGTCAGTACGCCCAATCTAGTAGGCCGGGGTGAGAGACTCGAGGGTTCATTCCGGCAAGGGAGTAAGGAGACAAGAAGATACAATCTGTCGTTGTGGAAACCACTGTTGCTGTCTAAGAATGGTTCAAGGTGAGTGGAGTTCACTTTTATTGTTTGTTTGTTCATTTTTGGCAATGGTAGGTTAGTAAGTTAAAGTGATGATTGTGAAAATGGTTTACCACTTCTTGAAATTGTTTTTTATTAATAAAAAAAAAGTGTTTATTGTAGGCTAATTCGAGATCTTGAACCTGATTCTGTCTACAGTAAAAGTGTGAGATTCATTAGTACACACAAATCCAGATCCACATAGATAACTCTATAGTAGTTAAACTAGGAAATTAAAAAACCTGACTGAAAACAACAAATACAGTAGTAGAAAATAGAGGAAAGGCTCAAAATCAAAGGAAACATCTGTATGATGGTATGCTCTTGATGGTATCTTGATGGTGGCTTGAGATCCGTCTGGCAAATGATATATCCAGGTCATCTATACTCATCCTGGGTTGTATTCTAAAGTTAAGAAACTCTCTTAAGTGGAAATAGCGAAATAGGATTGGAGATTTATTGTTGTTTTTATTCAAGAATGTGGGTTATGTTTTTTGACTCCTGCCATAAACAAAAGAAATAAATATAGACTGACAAAGGAAGGTTCGGCCAGAGCATGATCAGTTTTTGTCAATCCTCTGCTGTCGTGGACTTGTTGTCGTCTGCAACTAGCACTACCACCCCTGCAAACTAAATATTTGTAAATTTTTGTATATGGGCAAGGTAGGCTACAACATTCTGAAATCCTGCAATTACAAAAAAAGACCATTTCTTTGTAAATCTCTAGAAATTTTAAAAACACGGAAAAACAAACTCCAATTCCTTATTTTGAGGAATTCCCCTCAAGTTGGCAACATTGGCTCCGACTATCAAGTCGTCATGGCACCGCTCGCTAGCACTTAACGCTGCAGCGGTGTGCGCCGAAACTACACTGCACTCTTAGCGGCCAGAATATATGCCAACTGCAGCACTGCTGTCGGTCTATATTTTATTCTTTTGTTTATGCTCCTGTATAGATCCGAGTCGTTGTCTGATCCATTAGGCTACTTTTGTTTGTGAAAACGACCCCCCCCCTTTCAGGGAATAATCCCTTTGCCTATTTTCCATTGAATTAATTTTTTTATCATGGTTTCAGTTTAGGGAGTGAAATTGGAATAGCATTTATAGTATTAGAGTTAAGAATGTTTTCCTACGGTCTTATTACATAAGTTACTGTCAGTCTCAAGTTTATTTTCTATTTATTTTAATTGAAGTGTTTCAGCTTCAGTCTTTGGTGATATTCAAGACTGGCCGCCATGTAAATTTAAACTCGGAGAAAGTGGAATTATGTTGGACTTTGTCTACAACAACTCCAAATATGTAAGTAGACCTATACATAAAACTAACATAGTTTGCTGAAAAATGTCATTTAGCCTATAAAAAACTAATAGACACTCACATACAAATGTTGTTGTATGAAAAAAAATCCTGATATATATTTATTTTTAACATTCATTTTGATTAACAGTTGTAGTGTAACTTAGGCCTTTGTTGGTGTGACAATAGGCCTACACTATGCATTACACTATATTGTAGTTATTAGGTTCCCAATCACTGCTTGGCAAAATGTGTATTTTCCAATACTTCTTTGATGAAAGATTACTAGGGGATCCGTGTGTGAATTGCACATTTTAATTCAGTTTAAAACTTACAACTACTGTACTAATTTTAATTTACAATAAATTAAATTTGTTGATTTTAAATCTACACCATAAATAATGGTTTACCTACCTTAATCAGGTTACAATTATCTAAAAGGTATGTTAAATCCATTTTTATAAACTGCATTGTCATTGTCACTTGTTTTCAATCTGACTTGGTTAAACATTAAACTGAACGCTTAAAACTTAAAATTTAAACTTAAACTTAAAACTTAAATGCTACCTACAGGAGCAAAGTCCAAAAGAGAAATCAACCCCTTTAATTACCATTCGTCCCTCACTTAGAATATAAGCTTTAAAATTACACCTGAATCGTAAAGATCGGTTAAGTAAGACGGCTGAAAAAGGGATGTTAAAGAGACTCCTTGTTGTATTAAGTTATTAAGTATAGATGCTTTGTTGCAGATGAGAAACAGTATAGGGTGGGAAGGATGCGTCAGAGATGTAGCTGTCGGAAACCGTTACGCTGCGTTCGAAGTGAGAGAAAACGCAGGGAGTACGTTAAAGTCATCACTGAAACACACCCTTGAGTATGATACGAGAGGATCATTATCCAAGATATTACCATCCGCTGGACTATTAGCCCAGTTAACCTCAGAATATGCAGGGTTAGGAGGAAATGTCGGCTTTTTCAAAACTAACGGATTGTTTAGAGTCGATATTCCACTACCAGCAGATTTTGTAAGTATGTATAGGCCTAGCTGATCTGTTATGAAACACACTTACTTTTGCCATTAGCTATTGTGTCGATAATTTCATTTTATTATTTTATTTGACCTTGTATACATCTATGCCATTGAAAACTGTTCTGTTATATATTATTTAAGTTATCTTGTTCTCGTTATGTTAATATCTTGGTTGTAGTAGAACAGACTGTTGTTCATTATTTTGCACGGCCTTAAAATCTTAAATTATTTCTCTCCTTTTATTCTTTTGACTTGACCGAGGTTTTGAGACGTATGAGCTGGTTGGAACTGGCTCGGTTGTACACAAAGAGGTGAAATTTGTTTCCTGGCGATCGATTGTAGTTTCTCTCCCTTTCAGATTATGTATATTCGCTTTGGAGGTCTTCTGCCGCTTTATTCTTAATCATGTAAATTAACCTTGACAAATTTTAACAGTGATATGTATGTAAACCAAACTGAATATAACTATTCTTTAAAACGTTTAGTCCAAACTAACCAAAACGGTTGTTTTTGTTTACATGTACAGTAAAAATAATCTGTATCAGCTGTTTTTGTTAACTTCAGCTAAAAACTATGAACCATCTATACTTATTTAATACGCAAGCAGGTTTTTTGTGACAATTACTCCTCCGAAAGTACTGACATGCCATGTACTGATTGACATGTTTTTGGTGTCATTGGAAAGAGAGTAACGTGAAGTTGTGCAGGAAACATTCTGTTTAGGGAAATAATTAGAGAGTGAGGCCCTGGGGCCCTTAAAAATTTTGTATTTCTCCATAAGATTAACATGGGAAACAAAAATTGTTATCAAACTCCAGCTGTTGTCAGAAATGTTAAAGTGAGAAGAAGAACATGAAATGTTAATTGTAAAATTGTGACAGAGAGGTTATGCAGAAAATCAGGTAGTTAATGGTTATTTGGTGCTATTAAAATAAAGACAAATTTGTAAACGTACTAGCGACAATGGGTGATACCATGCAGACTACATTATCATTGACAAAGACCAACATGGACAACCTTTTGCGCTATAAGTGGGAAACATTTCTACAATACACTAAAAGCCAGATCAGCTTTTGAAAAATGATAAAATATTTACAACAAATGTTGATTATATTGAACTGTTAAGTATATTGTGAGTATTATCATTAGTTACGTAATCTTTGAGTTGACTCTTTTAAACTCATTGGAATTTATGACATATTTGTTCTTAAATAAGTTATTTGTCTTTAAATAACTCCTTTACTTCTTTGTGATTGCTCGATTTTGAGCAAAATGTACATTAGTTGATGATAACATTGGTACATTCAAAGGGTGTAGGACAGAAACTGGATTTTTCCCATCCTTGTGACCAACTCCAATCGATTTCTCTCGGCCAAATACCCCATATTATAAAAAAAACAAAAAAATCTCCTGTAAGAAAAAAGTTTGCCCGTACATGCGATTGTTTTAAAATTTCCCAAGGAAAGATTAAAGCAAGCAGCTGTTCGCAAACGGCAAACATTACGTCATTGCCCTCTTCTATCGTGACGTCATGCTTCACGAGCATTATCGCCTGTTTTTTAAGTGTGGCCTTCTTGATATAAACCTGGTGTGATGATATAGAAGAGTGCTTAACCAAATTCTTTGTTGCCGAATCTGGCAAGGGCTTTACGCTGACCATCTAACAACAATTGTTACCCAGCCACTAAAACACTCACGGCATTCAAAATTCTGTAGCTGAATTCAGCAGCTAGGAAAGTCCACACTGAAATATTATGTACCTATACCTTTACACACCTTTATCATTCTAAAATCTAACCATGCATGTAGGCTAGATAAAATTTTATGGAATTTTCTCTGTCCTTACATGTATATTCAGGGTGATCATAAATTATTGGATACATTTTAAGATTTATACAGGGTGTTCAATAAAGGTAGGGACATATTTTACGTAGTGATTCCTTGGGTCAAAAATAAAGAGAAAATCAAGAATAACATTTTGTCCAAAATCGCTTTGTTAACCAGATATCCGCCATTTTGTATTTTTTTCATAATGATTTTTAGCGTTGATGTTTTTTTACCGATCTTTATGAAACTCGTTATATAATATATAACATATTATTATTTTAAAGTAAAAGAGACCCATGTTAGAAAAAAATTCATCTTGATTCAATTAAAAATTTGAAAACGGCGGTCTTTTAATTTTTGAAACTTAAATCTGGGTTTTTGAAAAAATTACAAGAACACTTTAATTAGCATTTTTATTTCCCTATCAAACGATATTAAGTTAAAAGATCGAATAAGAAATAGCTGAAATATTACGATTTTTAGGTGTAAAATGGGGTAGAATAAGGCAGAATCTAGTCAGGTTTGTCCTATTATTTATTTATTTTACACCTAAAAATCATAATATTTCAGCTATTATTTTTTTAAGCTGTATTTTTTAAGGTTAAATAAACAAATAACCAATCAAATTAGAAACATGGAAATTGTTTCATTGAATAGCAAATTTAAAATAGTTTTATACAGTAAATGTTAAAAAATAATTGTAAAAATGTCAGTAATTAAAAAAGTGGTTATAAAAAGTGTGTAAAATCACCTTGGCGAATCCAAACTTATACTCATGTAATTATAAGTATGCAATAAAAAGCAAAGTATTTGGTTTCATGAAAGCAAATCTGTAATAACTTTTCGAAGAAGGTTTCATTTAGACAATGGCCGTAATTCTCCGTGTGACAATTCTATAAAATGGTGGTACAGGCAGTTCGAACGACTGAGAAGTGTCCAAAATATAGTCTAAAGGGTCATCACCTCAGAATAAACATAACTTACAATAACAGTTTAGGTGAGTTTTACAGTCTTTTTATTATAACTACTTAATTAAATAATTATTTAAGTGCTGACAAGTGATGCTCATATTTAATTTCTGACATTTTTATAATTATTTTTTTGCAGTTACTGTATAAAACTGTTTTAAATTTGCTATTTAATGAAACAATTCTATGATTCTAAGTTGCTTGGTTACCGGTATTTATTTATTTAACCTTAAAATGTGTACAATAATTTATGACCACCCTGTATTTTCCATTTATGTCAATATTTCTTTCTTATAATTGTGTTTTAAAAAAAATAGGTATAACATACACTAAATGTATACTGTTCCTCTGCTCATGTCCATTAAAACTTCATAAAGTTATCAATACCAACTTTTCACTAAATTAATTAAGGCCGGTTTCATTGCAGGTTCTGCAAGGCACATTGAACGGTGGGTATATGGTTCCTCTACATACAGACAACAAAGGTGTTTCTATATGTGACAACTTCTTCCTTGGAGGTCCAGTCACATTTAGAGGTTTTGACTTTAGAGGCGCCGGTCCTAATATTGATGGCAGTTTTCTTGGAGCGAAGGTACGTTTAAAATGTTCAACCTGTAAGGCTATGTTTTCACATTTTGACTTACAATTTGTGCATTCTGAGTATTTTCTGTCATTTATGAAAGTGCCAACCACAATGCATAACATATTTGTTGGAAATTAGCAATTGTCCTGACTAAAGGTTTATACCATTAAGATTAATGCTATTGACCAAATTAACTTTGCGGATGCATCTATTGTGATTTATTTATTTTTAATTAATTAATTTAAATAATTGCCTATTAAATTTATAGGTGTCACTAAAAGTTATTCATAGCCTGAAACGTATAATTGACAATATTGACATACTAATAAAGGTATTTATTAGTAGAATACAATGACACAAATTTGAGCTCAAAAGAACAACTGAGTAAAAAAGGTAGCCGTTTAAAGATTCAAAATGGCAGTTTTAGAAATCTTTGAACAGCTGCCATTTTCGACTCGGTTGTCCATTTGAGGTCCAGTTTGCAGCATTGTTTTTAGTTTGACAAGGCCTTTAATTTGATGCACATATCAACCTAGGTTCTTATCTTTAAGAGTTTCAACTTCCTCCCTATGGGCAGTCCCACATAGACATCCACTCACCATATGTACACAAAAAAGTAGCTTACTTAGTAATGACATGCCAAATTTGGTTGTGATATCTCTTTTAGTTTCAAAGTTATAAAGTCGTCCTAAGAATTAATTGTCATCCTGTATATTACGGTATTAGAGCTGTTATCGTTAACTCTATTACATTCAGTTGGTCTGTAATCTTTGATTTAATGTTGTTCAAGAGTCTCATTTCAGTCTAAACCACTGACCACTGTATTTTTTCCAGATGTACTGGAGTGCTGGTCTGAGCCTTTTCACTCCACTGCCATTCAGGCCTAAACTTGGTGGTTTTGGCGATAATTTCCGAGCTCACTTTTTCAGTAATGTTGGGAATATTGGTAGTTTCAATATCGGTAAGAAATATTATTTTGAAATCATTAGTTTATAATGAAGCAAGTGAAGCAACTGAATGAATGAGTGAATGTAGCAAATGTATTTATTTACTGTACTTATTATTATTATACATTAAGCTTTGAGCTATTATGAAAATTATTTCCAAAGACACCAACGTTACCAGTGGTAATCCTGTTTACCAGTTAGAGGGTTCTTTCATCCTGAAAAGACCCATAATTTTAATGGGTGACTTGGTAATCCTAGAATATAGTTCTGCGATATATTATACCATAGACAAAAATAATTAAATATAGACTGTCAGCTGTGCTGCGATAACCATAGGTTCTGACGCACACCGCTGGGAGCGCCTTGTAGTTATGGCTTTAGCGCTATGTAAGTACACGGCGCTGCTAGTGGTGTGCGCCAGATGGCACCTATGGTAACCATGGTAACCGCAGCATGGCTGACAGTCTATATTCAATTCTTTTTGTCTATGATTACACATAGTACTGTGTGGTTCTTTTATCCCAGAGTTTTCAACCTTCGTATGTCCAAGGCTGTATATTCGACCTTGTTTTCGCAAATCTACATTGTTCTGTCTGTGACCTTCCAACTTCCAACAGTTCTTAGGTGTTTCCGTTCCCTATACTGCTCTGTCCAGTTAGCAGCTTCACTAGTATACTGATTAGTGGGGCCAATTTTAACCTTAAAGTGGTATCAAGGAAATTTCCAAACAACAATCTTTTGTTTCAGCTGACGGAGCTAGTCTGATGGACAACGCCAGACTTGCCTGTGGCTTAGGACTGGCTATGAGACTCGGTCAGATGGCTCGGTTAGAACTCAACTACTGTTTCCCTGTTTGGGTCCGAGATGGCGACAGATCTATACACGGCATACAAGTGGGATTAGGGACAACACCTTGAGATTCTCGCCGACTGTAGGATTACAACTATTTATTTTAGTGCTCAGTTTATGTTTGTGAAAATTCTGAGGTTCGGTCTCTGTGAGTCACTGCCTATTTTAGTTTAAGAACAAATCTCTCTGCATGTTCTAATTTGGCTAATTTTAGTTTCTAAATGCGTTTTAGACACATTATACATTTTAAATGTAATTGTTTTCGACTTTAAGCGAGTACAAGACGAGACTGTAAATACAGAGTTACCTGAGGCCGATGTAACACAATAGTTATTGTTAATAAATTGTTCTGTTGAAAGTCTGTGGTTCCTAACCTTTCGGTGACTGACTGATTTTCTGAACCTTAAACCTCTAACTCTCTACATTTGGGGCCATTATATTTGTTTAAGAAACTTATCATGAATCACTGAGCTTAGAAGTTAAAACATAAAGCATCACAAAATATAGAAAAAGTAATTAATTAATTTTGCTCATGTTATAACATGGTTTCTCAGGGAGCGTAAGTTAATTACATATGAGGAAGGGGCATAAGTACATTTGAGAAAGGGGTGGTATGTACATATGACAAAGGGGCGTAAGTACATATGAGGAAGGGGCATAAGTACTGTACATTTGACAAAGTTGTATAAGTACATATGAAAAAGGGGTATAAGTACATATGAAAAAGGGGTGTAAGTACATATGAGGAAGGGGTGGGAGTACATATTATATGTACTTACGCTCCTTCGTCTTGCAAGCGTCAACTTTTTGGCTTATGGCTTATGCTTATATTATTAGTTATAGGCCTATTGTACAGTTTTTCCACTCTTTGTCAGCATTTTTTCAGCAATTGTCTATGTCAGCGGCATATTTAATGAAGAAGTTTTCATCAACAACACTTTTAAGATAAAGCTCTAAATCCACCAAATTTGTGTATGCCAGTGACCGAACCCAACCCTCTCAAACCAAAGTCTGAGACGCTAATCACTAGGCCTACAACACACCTAACCTACACCTCTTCACTTTTATATTCTACTCTGGTATGTTTTCATTTTAACTTAATGTTTGTCTCGTAAACATTAATTTGTGGATTGTTTTAGACACAAATTGCTGAACTATTCTCTGTTACCAACAAGGGTTCTTTTCAAAGATTAATCGTGAATTTCATTAAGATACACTCACCCTGGCATATAAGTCTTTAGCAATTTGCAGATGACCTGATTTATCCTGAAACTTAATTTGCAAAACCTAACAAGACCTTTGATTCAAAATAAAATATTTTCTAAAAATTAAGAACACATTCTTTGGGAAATACAGTCTAGGTAATAATATGCAAAATATTGTTATCACATTTATTTTACAAGTATAAAACCTATCAATGTACAAAAAAATGAAAATAACATTAGTAGTAAAAAAACTGTACAAATATTACGATATATCACAACTTGGCTTTGAGAGGACCTAAAAAATTTTAAAACCATTCTAGAAAATGATAAGACTCAGTTTTCAATTCACGACTGATATCACAGCCTCAAGGTTTATTTTATTAAGAGTGGAATTCAAAAGTTCCTTTTCATAAAACTTCTAAGAAAATTAGATTTTTCACATTTTTTATAGTCAGTACCTTCAATATTTTGTGTTTTCTGCAATACTACTCTTTTTAATTTATATTTTATTAAGTTCCATTATTCGTTTTTCAACAACACTAGATTTTATCCATTTCTTCCTTATGCATATACCAACAGACTGGCCTTATCAAATTTCACAGTCATCAAGCGTATTTACAAAGCAAATTTACAAGATCGCTCCCAAATCCATTGACGGCTGATGGGCCGTTCCACTGGCACTGCCTAAACCCTGTAGCGTTAGGTTATGTCGTCGGCGCACCACAGTTAGTCTCGTCTGCTCCGTCTGAACAATCGTTGACGTTGTCGCAAATCTGGCTTAGTGTGATACATCGTCCGTCAACGCAGCGTAGTTCTCCACTTGGGCAAGGCGACGTGTGCGAGCTCGGGATCAGCACTGGGGACATGAATGAATTAAGCACTCTGCAAGCTGTGATGGAAATACGTATCTCAATACCTGTATTGAACTGTTTGCTGCCTGGTTGGACGTCCCTGAAAGTGATAGTAGTTTAAATAAACCACTATAAATCCAACAACCCTATGTTGCTTTTTGTTATCCCCCCTCGGCAATATTATAATACCCCCGCTGCAGCAAACCTGCCGACTAAGCAAATCTCCATTTGTCAAAATTAATTTTCAATTCTATTTAAATAACATTAGGTTTAACAAGTAGGTACCTAGGTTTGCTGCTACAAGGAAATTAATATTAATAAAGTGTAGTTTTTGGTAAAATATTAATAGGTTAGTATAAAATAAAGAGATTTGCCAAGTTTATCAAAATATATTCATAAACAAGCAAACTACAACATTTAACAATATCTTCCATAAGAATAACATGTGAATTTTAAATTTCTTTTTAAATTTTCTCTGTTACCAATAACAGTACAATAACACTTTGATATGCTAAATTATTCGTTTTTTAAGCTCTTTTTATAAGAATCTAGAGAGAAATTGGAAAAATTTGTGTTTTGAGGGCCAAAAATGAGAAAAACCAATTTTTACCCCGTAAAACGCCTGATGATCCCATGGTCTGATCATGCTGGTTCGCGAACTCATTCAAGTTTATCCTGCCTTACACCTTTAAACAAAATTTCATCAAAATCGGACAAAAATTAGTTGAGTTATCACCTTACGGACACATATATAACTCTATATAGGCTATGTATATAGATACATGTTATGTATATACGAGTACATATATAAAAATTTGAATGAATGGTGTTTTTGGCCTCTGGGGACATCAAAATGAAAAAGTAAATCAGTCCCGGGCCTAGGTCTTAACGTGCCACCTACGGTAATAGCTACTTCCCTATAGGAAAATTCGTTAAAAAAGACAGGTCATGCCCTTCCTTATCATGAAGAAATTAGAAAATGATTAGCAAATAAATAATAGGTGAAATAAGTAAAAAAAAGCTAGATAGTTTTCCCCTAATTTTGCCTTAATTTACAACTAAAGGTGCCATTTTGATATTTTAAATCTGGCCAAATTAATTTTCCCCCTAAAACAGGTCTAATCTGCCTTAAAACACATACCAAGTTTGATAAAGATTGGTTTTAAAAAATGTTTATGTAAAAATACAGTTTTGAGATACCTTTATTTTTTATCGCTTTATACTTATATAACAATAAACTCAGAGTTTGGGTGTTTAGGACACCCTGTGTATTAGTTTTACAGTTTCCCCACAAACCCTATCTCCTAGTAATACACAATTATATCCTAGCTTGATAGTATGATGTACAATACCTTCTGTCATTTGACAGTTGAACTCGTCTGATCCGTCGGAACAATCTCTTCTTCTGTCACACTTCCAGTCAAGTGGTATACATTTGTGATCAGCAGAACATCTTGAACAAATTAAAAGTGAAATCTTATATACTGATTATTATTATTACATAACTGTGTTTATGAATATTGAAATGATTCAGTTAAGTTATGAATTTCCCTGTCATAATAAACCACTAATTTGACGAATATATAGTCTGTATGATGGAACCTGTCCCCTGACCCTTCATCTCCGTGGGTACTGGTTAACACGTTCACTGCGGCATACATCAAACAGGCGCTTCCGAATGGTGTTGAGGCCCGGGCAAAGCCCCGGCGGGCTACCGAATCAGCAAAAGCAAATGGCATTCAAATATTTCAGTCTGACTAATCACAAAAGAGCAGCGGTGATTGTGCTGCGTTACCCCGAGGGTGGACGTAGTTCACTGAAACACCCAAGGGTAGCATCAATAACTGGATCCTTAGCCAGTGTCTTTGTAATGTGGCTCGAAGAGAGAAAATCCTCAAAACCGGGACAAAAGCATTGCCAGGCTCACATTCTCAGCTACAGCCTGGCAACGATTATAACGTTCCGCGTCAATGACTGCTCACGCTGACTGTCTGTTCAAAGTTAAATCATTGGAACTGCTGATTACGACTGCACAGCACGTGGATTGCAGCTGGCACCAGCTGATTTAGACCGCTCAGCTGCGAACGTGTTAAGGGCCGGTCCAGGTAGGTAGAATGGGTTTATTAGGGTTGATGATTTGAAGTAATACATTGAACACAGACACACACATATTAAATACTACCCATATTAAATTATAGCTTAAAAAAGGCAATTGGGCCTGAGCGGCGAGCACTCAAAATTTCTATTGCACAGGGTCTTCCTCCACTGTAAGTGTTGTAGTACACAAGGGTTGGACTTTGCCCTTGACACTAGTGACTAGTGCTAGACACCACTTACGTATCATTGAATGTTTTCTCTGTACCTCACCTCTCTGTGGTAGCTCAAAATGCTGATGGAGACCACAATTAAATTGTCTGGGTAGCCGAGTGGTGATAGTCTTCAAATTCAAATCTGATGGTCGCTGGTTCGATTCCAAGAATCGCTACTGGAACTTGATGCCATGTGTCATCGAGATATAAATTGAAGATGTTATTCAACAAAAATATCAACGCTTTATGTTAACAAAACCAGGGTTTGGATTGTTCTCTTTCACAATGTTAAAAAATTACAATGGCATAAATAGACACAAAAATTACCTGAACTCGTCTTGAGAGCATTTTGTGCAGTTAGTTTCATCATCCCCCAAAGGACAGTCTCTGTTTCCATCGCAGGCCCAGCGCCACGGGATACAGGTGCCGTCGGAACAGCGGAACTCATTCTTGAGGCACTCGTCTCCTACAACAGTGCTCGACAGAGAAATATGGAAAACATATCACGGTTCATCTTAGATAAGAGAATAAGTTGAGGTAAATTGATTTAATCAACAAAAGATCTTTAATTTGTAGAGGTAAATGTATATAATACATAATCATTCCTCTTTGCTGCCTTCACACTTAAATTTCATTTTAATTTTTAAATTGTATAAAGAAATAAAGCTGATAACAACATTGTAACAGCAAATTCTGTGGCTTTGAAATATGTAAACAACAATAACTTCATGGCTTAGTCTTAGGCCTACATAGTAGCTATGACACGACCAATTGATCATTCATGATATGTCCACTTCTGTGTATATACACTTATTCTATAAATCTAGTAATATATGTAAAGAAAAAATATATTTTAAATACATTTTTTATACTACTTTTTGTAATCCTTACACTAGGGCATATATGCAAACCGTGTTCCCTCAAAACAAGAATGTACATTCCAAAAGTATAGGTTAAAATATATAGCACAGGTATAATAATCATAGTACCTACCATAATTATGTAGTTCTAATTACGCTAAATAATTCTGAAATCTCAATTGATTCTTAGCAAAAGACACTTTATTTAAAACAATTCCACAACAAATTTCCTTTTTAAATCTGTTACTTAACGTAACATATGACTTCAATGAAGTACGACTTGGCAATATGGTTATACAATTTACTTATGCCTAAGCCTAGAGTTAACTATTTTTTTAAGTTAACATGCCCCAATACATGCACTCAATTTCTTAAAAACAAAGTTATAAGTCACCTCTCGCAAGGTTTATACACTCTTCCTGGTTATTGGAGTCGGGATAAATGTCACAGTTGAAAACCTGTGATAAATCTAATGAGTCCAGGATGAAATCTCTGCATTCCTCTTCAACAGCTGTAACATAAAAATGTCACACTTTTAAATAGTCAAATGTGGAAAGTAGAGAATCCAAAAACAACCAGAGAAAACAATGTTAACACCTAAGATGATCTTTTAAGAAAGAAGGTAGGGCAGTCAAATGCTGTTGGATATTCCAAGGATCACAGCATGGTGGAAGGAAAATACATAGGTGTGCTATTCCCATCATATTCTGACGTCACTCAGATTGCAAACAAAAGATCACCTGATTGTAACTGTCAAATTAGTATTTGTTTTGATTTGGTTGTTATTGTTTTTATAATGAACACATTCAACTATTTTGAATGTGCTCAGCGAGTACTTCTAATATAGAAATTCTCGAAAGATACCAATCGACAATGCTGAGGAAGATAACAAATGCACCATGGTATGTCAGCAATAGGACACTACATCAAGACCTTAAGATGCCTACAGTTAAGGACGAAATCATGACCATAACTGAACGATATATTACGAAATTGGAATCTCATCAAAATCATTTAGCTCTTAACTTATTAAACAACATGGATACAATTTACAGACTTAAGAGGCCATCAATTCTCGACCTGCCCTACAGATTTTTGTAAAGTGTTTTTATTGAAAAATTTGTTGTTGAGAGTGCTTAACAGCTATTTTTAATGTTCCAAAGTCAATTTTTCGTATTACGTAGTATTTACTTATTGTTCAATATATAATAGAACAGATTGTAAAGTAAATAAATAAAAAAAAAAAAAAACTATTTTGAAAACATAATATTGCCAATAACAATCAAATAAAAAAAAAACATACTAAATTGACAGTTTACAATCAGGTGATCTTTTGTGGTCTTTTGAGTGACGTCAGAATATGATGGGAATAGCACACCTATGTATTTTCCTTCCACCATGGGATCACAGAATACTAGATGTTAGATTGCTACGCCAAAACACACTAGTGTGAAAAATTTTAGGCGATGATCAGTGAAGGATTTTTGTAAAATATGATTGAAACGATAGCTTTATTACTGACTAAGATCAGCTGTTTCTTTAGCCAGAATTAACTTTTTAAGTCCTGTGTTAGAGGACAGCTGGGTACAGTTTCAAACTATAAAATAGATACCACTCTTAGAGAATATATTAAGATTAGGCACCCAAGAGGGCCATCAGTTGTCATGTAGCCAAGCGATTAAATCAATCCAACAAAGTACCTCTACAAGCCTTCCTGCACGGAGGAAGAATGCTATGACCCACACTGCGACACTCCGGCTCTAGAAGTGAGCATAGAAACTGTCGTATCCTGGCACTACAGCTGGTGCTGGAGATCATCTCAAAGTAAGGCAAGACGGTGTCTAGGTCCAGAGCAGACGACACTCCGGGGATGACTGGTGCAGCTGTTAGGTCCCATGGGAGCACACCACGGCACAGAGACAGTCGTGGGGATGAACAGACACCTGGGCAGAAGGGAGTATTGTTAATGAATTTGGTTTTGTTAGAGTAATTCTTAGCACCTTTTACTTAGGTGCGAGTGTAATAGGTACATATAAGATTATTAAAGGCTTGAAGATCATTGAACATGGAACATAGAACATGTGCCATGGGAGGTCGCTATGGTAGAGTGACAATCAAGGGAATGAACCTAGAAGGAAAGTTAAAACAATTGTTAACTAATTTGGTTTTGTTGTTAGACTAATTTTTAGCACCTTGTAATTGGGTATAAGAGTATTGGTATGTAAAAATACCTCTGCCGCAGCAAACCTGCAGACTAAGCCAATTTCGATTTGCCTGAATCGATATACAATTAAATCTGTTTAAATAACATTTAGTTGTAAAATATTAATAGCTTACTATAAAATAAATCAATTTGTCAAGTTTGATAAAAATATATACATAAACAAGCAAACTGAAACATTTTACAATATTCTCCAAAAGAATAACATAGGCATTTTAAATTTACAATTTTTTTAATTTTCTCCATAACCAAAAACCGCACAAAAACACTTCAACATCCAAAATTATTTGTCTTTTTAACCTCTTTAAAATGGTCTAGAGAGAAATTGGAAAATTTTGTGTTTTGATGGTCAACTATAAGAAAAACAAATTTTTACCCCATAAACCCCCCACCCTGTACAACGTACAACCCCATTTTCCATCGTCCAATCATGCTAGTTCACAAACTCATTCAAGTTTATCTCGCCTTACACCTTCAAACCAAATTTCATCAAAATCTAACTAAAATTACTCAAGTTATCGCGTTCTCAGACACACACACACACATATATATCTATATATTTAATACGCTAGGCATATTTTTGTCATAATTGTTTTGAAGCTGCTATGCATCCGATCACCAAGTTTGAGGTGTCGTTGGATAGGATGTGGCACGTAGATTTGCCATCTATCAAACAATCTTTGAAATCCCATCAGGGCTCTGCCCCAGTGGCCTTCAAAGTTCCCATGTTATCCTTATGGGGAAAATTTTTGTTTACATTTGAACAGATGAATACTTTGAAATTTACACTAATATTTGAAACAGCTGGTTATACTCAAATTGAAATTAATGGAAACATGACAAAGATTTTGAAGAGATAAAAATGTACACTGTTTTTTTTTACAATAATTGGTGTTTCACTGCAAAACACGTTATTAGGGTGAATTTTAAAGTGAACTGACAGTACAGCAGTTACACGTAATTGTTGTGATTTTTAAGATCTTCGTTTTACAGAAACTAAATAAAAGGATTATATTAATGAGTGGAGAATATCAATATCCAAGGAACAATATATTTTTTGTAATTAATTGTATCTATTGTAAGAGATATATATACATTCTTCTGTATTTATGATAAGTGTACAAGAATAATTATCTGAAGTTATTGATATTATTTATAAACATTTTTTCACCTCAAAAAAGAATATTTGATTATATCAGAAGTTAGGAAGGGTGGGACCCAAAGATTCAGGAAAACACCATTATTGTGTTAAACAGGAATCTTGATATGTCGTCAGGCTTGATTAAGGAAGGTAAAGAAATAACTTTTAACAACATGTGGAAGAAATGTAAAATACAAAAAAATGAAAGGAGTCTTCATGAAATTATCAGGCCATGCCAGAGAAAATAGAAGCATGACTGGAAAGCATTTGATGACGCTGTACAAAGGGTGTTAAGCCAGCGCTTTACGGATGCAAGTTCTAGGGTAAGGATGTTAGGATTGAAAGATTTTAAAATAAACATTTGAGTATGCAAAAAAGAGTTTTCACGGCAAATAAGTCCCAGACTTCAGCCAGAGGGGGGGGGGTGGGAACGAGGGGGTTTCCGAGAAAGAAAAAGATTTATCACGGGACCTGGCAAATAAGTCCCAGACTTCAGCCAGAGGGGGGGTGGGAACGAGGGGGTTTCCTAGAAAGAAAGAAGATTTATCATGGGACCTGGCAAATAAGTCCCAGCCAAAGGTGTTGGTGGGAACGAGAGGGTTTGGTTTATCATTTAGGTTATCATCAATTAATCAAAAGAGAATCTTTTACTGACTTTCACAAAAGGAACTGCAAAAACGGCAGGTAAACTGCGAACCCAATTAGGCCTTTTACCATCACCAGCTTTAGCAAAAAAGCCAAGAAACGAGAAAACGCCAAATAAAAAAATCAATACAAATCCTTCTTCTCCTTCGTCTTAATTGCGCACGATTTCGTGCGCCAGGTTCTCTAGTATATATAATTAGATGTATATATATAAATATATAAATACATATACTGTATAAAAATTTGAACGAATAATGTTTTTTGCCTCTGGGGACATCAGAATAATTAAGTAAATCAATTCTGGGCTCAAGTCTTACTTGATAAATACTTGGTTATAGCTGATTCCCTATAGGGGAATTCGCTAAGATCAATTGTTTCATTAGCCATGACGATTAAGACTTTAAAATATTTGGTCAGGCCCTTTGGGAGGACAGTATGGTCGAGGGAAAAAGGAAAATAATAGACAGAAAGTGGATTGTGTTGGTCACTAGAGCAAGGACCATTAAAGGCTAAATATCACTAAAAAGGACCCATGGGAGCACAGCAACAGTCTGGAGGGGAGGCGTAGGGAATCTCGAATCCCAATCAGAAAGAAGGGTTACAGGAATAAGTCGAGTGAGAGATTGGAGAACACTTGTTACCACAAAATGAGCCACTGTTACGTGACATTATTTTATGACCATTGGATGAACACACATATCCCGTTTTTACATGTAAACCAGGGCTACTCTCCCTTCTCATTCAACAATACCACCACTGCAAGAATTTAAAAATGGAATTCACCTCGTACTTTGTGCAAGAGTGATGTCTCCATTCAAATAAATTAGTAAGAAATAAATCTGATCTGATTCTTAAGCCAATATCATTAGCCAAGCCAAAGGATAAAAGCTTTATTGAAAAATAATGAACAAAAAAGTAATATTCATATAATAACTAGATGTATTTCCTCAAGAGAGTTTAATCAGTGCTATAATTTTTGATCCTATGAATAATTAAAATAAACTTAGCGTTGGTTTCAGTTTTTAATAAAACAGCTGAGATAAAAACAAAAATGTTTAAAATTCATTGGAATACAAATATTTATATTTTTTATTAGTATATGTTATTATTTTATCTTAAAAAAATTTAAATTTTTCTTAATATGAATTATAAAGACAAACTTAGCAATGATACGAAAGAGTATTTAAAAGAAGATCCAAAGAAGACTTCAAGATCATTTCCATGGAGTCTTTTCATGTTGTGTTTACTAAAATTTGCAGAGTGTTGTGTGATACTCAAATTTAAACGCTTACCGTATATGTTAAGGGCAGATGGTTCAAAAAATGCCAAACCACTTACTGAGACAACTAATCAGTCCTTGAACGAATTGATTTATCTTTGGTTATTTCCTGATACTCTTTCGCCAGTTATTCTTGTAGAGCCTGTTGAATTACTCATGCCTTCTCTGCAAGCAGCAGGATTGCTATTAGCAATGTTGTTGAACTATTTGAGAATCAAGTGTGGAAAATTCATTGAAAGCAAAAAGACTGTTCAAAACTGTTATTTTCAAATCAATTCTATCATAATTTACTTCACTCTTCTAGTTATTTTCCTTACAGGAATAGAAGTTGTTTATCAAATATCTAAAGTTTTACACTCGGTCCATATGCTTTTTGTTCACGTAAGCTACAAAGATGCTTTTGTTTATCTGATTATTAGTTGGAATTTACTAGCCATACAGCTATACCTATTGTATGAAGGACTTAAATTACAAGTAATATATTAAATTGATATTAATGTATACATTTTTAATTTTTATAGTAGGCTAAATGAAAAGCAAATATTTTCTGTAAAGGTAAGCACTGTAGGTATAGTCAATGGTAATAGTTATATAGAGGAAATAATATTTTAAGAGTTATTGATTTTGTGTTTTGTTTCATCTTTTTGAAAATTAATTATCAAAACATTTGAATTTAACATAGCCTATTATGTATTGTTATGCATGTTTGGTAGCCAGCACTTCTGAAATCTAACATCCAAGAATGACTGTGTACAAACGGAGAATTTTATTTTCTCCTCCTATAGTCTATACACATAGTTTACAGAGAAAACATTGTTTTTGTCTAAATGTCTCAGTTTTGGAAGATATGTATATTTTGGTTACCACTAAACCCATAAAGTAATTTCTATTGATGAAATTTAAAATGTGGTGGGGGGGGGGGTACTAATCCACGATACCTCAGCTAGTGTAGGTAGGTACCTATATTTTATTTTATTGGAAATTTTGTTTTTAAATGGTGATTTTTCTATAAAACCCCATAAACTAACGCAGATAATCTTAATTTCACAAAAAAACCTAAACAATTTAAATACAACTTAGATTTTTTTATAGTCCTTTTAAGTATAAACATAAACTAAATGGTACAACTCTTATTGCTCTAATAGTTGTGGTTCATAAGTTATCACAATTTGTGTGACTAGCCAATAAAATTACTCCCACTGATTACTATTATAAGGGTTGTTGGTTGCTTATAAGCTAATGGGAGGGAGTATATATGTATCATATCGCTGATACCGTTTATTTCTATTGTTTAAAACTATACTCTACTCCAGATACTACTTACTCTCGGTCTCGTTGACGTCACTCTGAGAAGGTGTGATGCTGACCATGTGAACTGTAGGGTTGGACGAGGGTAGAGTCGGAGAAACCCTGGGTGGAACCGTGTTTACTTCCTTAGTGGGGGAAACCTGGGAAACAACCCCAATAGAAAAGCATTTAGCAAGGGTGGTTCCAATGTAATTTCTTAAGTTTGATGGGTCAACTTATAAAAAAATGAAAAGGTGTAAATTTGCTGAAATCCTGGAAATCTGGTTTGAGCTTATAGAATTAGTAGGACCTGTAGACAATTTGATGTTATGGCTTTTGGATAGTGTACCTTACAGTACCTAGACTTTCGCGGCCGGTGTCATCAACGAGAGTTGCCAGACGTTTCGGCACTATGAAGTGGCATCCTCAGTGGCTAGGCTCGGACTAAATTAGGGAAATTTGTCCAGGTATATCTGTATCCAGGGCAAAACGTCTGGCAACAGATAGTGTATCGATGCGGTTGATGCCAAAACACCACCATGAACTTATTTTAGTTAAATCCTATACGTAAATCATGGCCCAATTATGTGACTACTGATTCAAATATTACTGAATTATGTCAAATCAAAACTCAATGTTCAATTCTTATAATTTAATAAGCTTCTTAAGAGCATATACTAATATTGTTTAAAAACATTTAATTTGTACAGAAAAATATGTAACTTTGGATTGTACGGTACTAAAATTATAGACATTACAGTAAGAAAACAAATAAACAGACAAATTTGCATACAAAGCTTATTAATTAGTCATGTTTAATAGTCTACCATGGTACTACTGTACTACTGATATACATTAAAAACGCTGTACCCGGTATTTATTTCCACTGAAGGTGGTCATGTGGACATTGGTAAGTAATTTTGTGTTTGTTGATTTCTTCATAGTTTTGTAGTCGTTACCATAGACTAACCAACACAAGTAGACTTCTCATCCCATTGTACATTTTGAAGCTTATTTTTCGTGTCTAGTTCATGTCCGGTAACACTGGATCGCTAATGTCGACGAAATTTTGTTTAAATTATTTTAGGGTTAATTTATTGATTTGTTCTTTTGGTTATACAACTAGGGGACGAGTTATTGTTTATGATTAGATCGACAGCTTGTATTATTTATTGTTAAACGAGGTTTTAAATAACTGAAATAAAAAGAAACAAATTGTAAACAAAATACGACCTCTACAGAGCACTGTAAAGAACTAACAATAAAATTGGCTTCAAGCTGTTCGCTGTTCTATAAGGATGGGAAATCTACTGAGAGAGTATGTTTTATCTATGTCTTTACTGTGTTGTTAGCTGGTCATGTAGCCTATATATAGACAAAAATTTACTGTACAACTGAGTGAAAATTTAAAAACGTACGTTTTCATGTCCCTGGCCTTTTACTTCGTAGATACTGGATTTGTAGTTTATTATTATGTGTTTTAATATTTTTTGGGACGGGGGCAACATGTTACACACATTTATTTGGTTTTAAATAGGTTCTAGGTATTTTTTTCGTATTTTTAAAGTCTCGAAATTCACGACCATGACGTGTCCCTAGGGTACATTTTCCAACTTTCACGCTGTTTTTAGACTAATTATTCATGCCGAAATAAATAAAACTATATTTTTACGTCATCAATGGTTATTAAACTTACAAAAAAGGAGCATATTATAATTTTATTGTCATTACAAACTGACTACCATGACTAAATAAGTCTGTCCCTCGATTTGGCGTCACGACCATTTAGGAAAGATTTTCAACTTTGGAGCACGACAGTGGCAAGCCTGGCGTCGATGGAGTCAGTTGGTTTTAGAGACTAGTTCGGGGTGTACGTCAGGATTGTAGTGCCGGTCGTTTCGAGTTGAAAGGAGGAATTACAAGATTAATAAAGGAAAGATTGTGTTTTTTGTAATTTTGGTGTGTCCATGACCGTACACAGTCATTCGATGAAGTAGACATTGTGTTAGTTTTTGTTTATAAGATATTTCAATTGCTAGATTAACCTAGAAGTCCACTTTGTATCCTCGAACATGAGGTGCAGGGCTACCGCCAGAACAGAGCCAAATAGCTTGTAATTTCACGACCAAAGTTTCACGACCATCGCGGGTTTTTTCACGACCAATCCAGCCTTATGGATTATAGTGTGTTTGGTCGTGACAATAACTTAAATACAATTGTAAATTGAACAGTTTAGTGCAATTTAAACACATATTTTTATTATAACTAACAGGATAATTGAAGGATTGTTTAGAAAGATTTAGATTATTCCAGACAATTCACGACCGTACCGCTTGTCCCTGACCATCACGTTTATGATTTCTATCATAAAATTTCAAAAATTAAAATATCGTCATATTTCAATGTTTTATACACAAAAGAAGCACACCTCTATACAAAACATAACGATTTTTCGGGTCTCAGGTAAGTTTTTTCGGAGTTATACAAACTTAAAAAGATTTTATTGGCTTTTTTTCAATTTTTGAGTTTTTTTTCTTTTTTTCTAGAAAGACCAAATATACCAAAAGCTCAGTGACCTTTTTATTGTATAATGGTCATAAAAGTAAATTAGTTTATAGCAAAACATAGTTATAAAAATAATATTAACTATTTTTAATATTCATTTAAACGTCCGTTATGGTCGTGACAGGATTTTGTGTTTTTCCACTAAAGATGTTCTTTTAAAAAGAAACTACCAAACATATTGCGTTACCATGGACATTTTATGAAACTTCAAATGTTAATGAAATAAAAAAATAATAAAAGTTTTGAAAAAAGGGGGAAAAAATTAGGAAAGTGCTTTTCCTGAAAACGTGCGTTTTTAAATTTTCACTCAACTATTATAGAGGTCTCGACTATCCGACCCACCTTGTTATCTGAATCTTTCCTGTAGGATAAAATTGTCATATTTTTGCATAATATCACTTTACACCAGAGCGGTGACATCAAGACAACTCATTTTGCTATTGTTTGTACTATCGGAAAATAATAGTCAGACTAGACACGCACATGCTATCCTAAACAATCAATACTACTATAGTTGTTATTTGTGACCGATCTTACAATGGTTGAGATTTACCTGATATTCACCATATTTGTGGCCGTTGGGTATCTTCTTGCTGAGCAGTCCTCCAGGTGTGCTGATGAAGCGTCCGGTGGTCCTCGGAGGTCCGACAGACTGTGACGTCACCATCCGCTGGGATTTGTCAAAACTTGAGAGTAATTTGTCCACAAAGTTCTTATCCCCAGCGTGAATCCCACTGGTACGAAGGGTGGTGGAGATCTGTACGTAAGGTTTGTTGGTTATCAACCTCCGATTGCTCAGAGTGGCCGGTTTTGATTCTGAAGTGTCGAAATCATCTTCCTCTTCAAAATGCTCTGTTTCACCAATCTCGATGTCGGTTTCAGGAATCACTTCGAATATTTCCTGACCTTCGATCTGGACGGTTGCATTTTGTCCTGTGAATTAATTGTATAAGAAAATCTCAATTGGTTTTATTTTTATAGAATAAATTTACTTAATCTCCACTTTTTTAGAATAATTTTTTATTTTGCTGATTATGGCTATAAAATTGTTTAAGTAAAAATAAATAGTAAAGTCATAGTCTTATAGCAATTTCCAGCTACAAATCATGGCTACGATTATATTGCTGTGAAGCAATGTTTACGTTTGTTGCCACGCTATCCAAATCCTTGAAGCGAAAACCTTTGTGTAGGTGTGCAACTGAATCGAATCTATGTTTTAAAATTTGTTCAAAAACTGTTAGTTTATTTTTTCATAGGTAACACCATAGACTAACCAACACAAGTAGACTTCTCATTCCATTGTAAACTTTGAAGCTTGTTTTTTTTTCTCGTTTTAGTGTAGTTTTGTTAAACAAAATTTTGTTTCTATTATTTTAGGGTAAATTTTATAATTTGTGCTTTACTGTTTAGCTAAATAACTAAGGGACGAGTGTTATTGTTTATGATTAGATCGCTTTATTAGGTAAAACAAGGTTTTAAATTACTGAAATAACAAAAAATAAATTGTAAACAAAACACAACCTCTACAGTGCACCGGACAGAACTATTGATAAAATTGTCTTCAGCTGAAAGGATGAGAAATCTACTAGGGGGGTATGTTTATTTTATGGTACCAACCACGAATACTGGAATACTTTAACAAAACAGGTATGGATCATAAACATAAACAAATGACTTTGTTGGTCCAAAAATAAATATTATTTAACATGGAATTGTCAAAATCATATGTTAATGCTATTTTACTATTAGTATAGGATTCGGGCCAGCAACGTCATTTGTTTAAATGCTTGTGATCAATACCGGTTTTGTTGGGTACCAACTAATGCATTTAATGCATTCAATTTTATCTAAATGTGAACAATGCTCTAAGTCCACTTATTGCTGATTTATTAAGCGACTCAACAACTTGTTATATTAGAACATCGAGATGGACTGACTGCTTCACAAAAAAGTTGATACAAACATGATTCCGCGTTAATTGCTACTACAAAAAGTCTATTAAGTTGTAAGCAGACCTGTCTCAGTCCGGTAAGTGACTCTAGTATGGTCCAGAGCAATCTCTTCTCCCTCCATTGTCACCAGCTGGTGTGGATGACTTCCCTCCATTCCTGACACCCCCTCCTGCCCCACATCCCACAGCTTATTGTGATCCTCCTCGGGTGAATCTGTGAACAAATTACTCTAATTAAATCAACTTCTACCAGTATTTACAAAATGCTTTATGTATTCACACAAAGAAGTAAGGTACAGAGGAAACATGCAATGGCGTGTGTCTTTTCCTAGTGCTATCTCGTCCAAGTGCTACTGCTAATCGTCCAAATTCTCCAAACTTAGGGTGGGGGTTCATCCCCTTCCATCAACTAGTGCTATATTGTCCAAAACCCCATAATATTTTTCGCCTCAAAGGTCTACAAAAAACTATGGAAACTTTTGTAGTAGCCTACCTTTACAATTAACTAGCCGTATAGATATTATGTAAAAACAAAATACAGGGTGAAGTGTGCCCGCTGTTTTATTCGAAAATCATAATAAGTCAAATGGTAAGTGCCTTGGATTTTTTATTTTAAAAATTTTAGTGGTCCAATAAAATATTTTAGTCACCATTTTTCCAATATGGCCACCAACATTGATTTTTCTTATGGAACACCCTGTATTTTATGATCTATTCCGATAGAAAAAATGTAATCAAGACAATGTTACTCTTGTGTTTTTTTTTTTTCATAAACCGAACCGGTTCAAAGATAATAATGGTTAAAGTTTTGAAATTTCGGCATGAGAAAGAGTTTCGATAAAGGCCTAAAAGCATGCCAGCTGTTTGATTCGAAAACTATTCGAAGTTTCACAACTTTAACCATTATTATCATTGAAACGGTTAGGTTAATAAAAAAATAAAAAAACACAAGAGTAAAATATGTCTTAAAATTACATTTTCTACTGGAATACATCATAAAATACAGGGTGTTACATAAGAAAAATCAAAGTTGGCAGCCATATTGGAAAAATGGCGGCTACAATATTTTTTCGACTTGACTAAAATTTTTTAAATAAAAAATCCAAGGCACTTACTAATTAATTTAAACATCTTTGCCACCAAGACTGATAATTGAATATAATATAATAGGTTACGTACCGGTACCTTATTCCGTCTTCAGTCTTAACTTAGTCAATGCTGGATGCTAGGATAGTTCTGTCGTGTCCGCCGTGTAACCTGCGTCGGTTTGTCCCGTTTCAATGTGGCCGGCCTATCGTAATTGTTTTTGTAACTATATTTATGTAAAATGTGTAAACTTTATGTGTCGTCAACCTGCATGTATACATTGATGAAGACTTACGTCGGATTTTTGACCATATTCAATTGATGTTTTAAATAAGGATTTGATAATGGGACTTTGTTCCCGAAACTAGTCATCCAGCATTGACTAAGTTAAGACTGAAGACGGAATAAGGTACGTAACCTATTATATTATATTACTAATTAACTTTTTTCGATAGCTCTTATAGTTTTCGAATAAAACAGCTGGCACACTTATATCAATCACCCTGTATCTAAATATATAAAAGGCAAAGCCCTCACTGACTGACTGACTCACTCACTCACTCATCACTAATTCTCCCACTTCCCATTTACCTAGGAGGCTGAAATTCGGTACACCGATTCTTTGGGCAACTAAGTAGTTTTTATTCTGATCGGGCTTTCGGGCTCCGCCCCAGTGGCTCTGGAGTTTCCCATGTTATCCTTATGATTTTTCATATTTAAAAGGAATTTCTTAACAGCTGTTTCAATAAAACAAGTTGGTTCTGTTCTATGATGTTCATTAGCATTAAAGTTACATGGATTACCAACAGGGTGCAGCACTTTTATTTTTTTTAATTTTTGACTACAGCCAATTTGCAACCAAAAGGTGAGTGAGCGTAGCGAACGGGACTTCAACCTGGAAGCGAGTTAGCATAGCGAACAAGCTAACCTGAAGGCAAGTGAGCGGAGCGAACAAGCTCCAACCTAAAGGTGAGTGAGCGTAGCGAACGAACTTCAACCAGGACGTGATTGAGCCATGCGAACGAGCTCACTTGTGAAGTTAAACGGGGCAAATCCCGTGGGTACAGCTAGTTGACTCATAAATGTACATAGATTTTATAATGCACCAATAAAATCATTTTCAGTTTGTATCAATTAATTGTGCAATTTATGAGTAGTTTACATGCGTGGTTGGCCATGAGACAAACTTTCACATCCTTAACGTTAGTCTTCAAACCAAGTATATTTGACTTGATCAGTAATGCGCTTCAACGGGGCGATGTCTACTTGTACCTGCGTCTAGTTGTACCTGCTGCATTTTGGTGACAGGCGTCTAGTTGTACCCCGTCCAAAGCTGTGGGGACAACTTGACGATGGTGCGGACGTCTAGTTGTACCTACGTCTAGTTGTCTCTACGTCTAGTTGTACCTCTTAAAAATCTACAGGTACAACTAGTCGGGAACGCCACCGTCTACTTGTACCTCATACGTCTGCGTCTACTTGTACCTACGACTACTTGTACCTACGACTACTTGTACCTACGACTACTTGTACCTACGACTAGTTGTACCTACGCCTACTTGTACCTACGTCTAGTCGTACCTGCGGCTAGTTGTATCTCCCCTTCAACTTGTCACCAGTTTAAGGGATTTATTTTATTTCTTTAAAAATCATACAATCTTACAACAATTTATTATAAACAACTTGCTACAGGAAAATTTGGCTTGTCTGCAGCTCATTGAGAAACCCCTGTTCTTGATAACAACGTACTTGTGTCCCTTGGTCAGTCCTTATCCATATTACACTTTGGTTTTCCTTATTTCTTGTCAAGATCTGCTATCATTGTTTTTTCCACTTAAACTCTACCTTTCTATAGAAAACTAACATTAACTAGCTTAAACAACAACTTTAAACAATTATCTTAAATAAATAAATTCAGAGTTTACAAAAACAAGTAATTGAGTATAATAAAGTGTTTTTGTACGGTATTAGTCACGGAGAATATTACAACAAGTTCAAATTAAAAATGTATATGTTATTCTTATGGATATTACGTAAACTGGCGTAGTTTGGTAGTTGATGCATATACTTTGACAAATTAGTTTATTTCACACTTAACTACTAGATTTTCTCAAAAACACATCTTAATTACCTTCTACGCAAACGTAATTAAAGCTCAGTATTGAAATACCATTGAAAAAATAACCCAGATATGACTTTTTTTGCGCGCGCTTATTAGTTCTTAGTAAAACTAATCTTGGTTTAGTTGCAGACTACATAGCCAGTGTACACATACCTAGCTCAGTATACAGAATGCCTTTATAAATTAAAATAGGCTAAAAAGACATATAAAAAGAATTACAAATGTTTAAAACTAACATGGGTTTAACGGGTTGCTATGCTGGTGACGAAATAACAACTAATTATGAAAATAAAATCAAAACAAATGGAACATATTCCAATCACATTTATTATTTACAGTGTATGTTAAATGGAGAAGTATGTGTAGTACATTGCATAGTTTTTGTCGAGTTTTCAACCGCTGGACCTCAACTTCATTGTACACTTCATTGTTCATTGATCACTGGGAAATCCATGGTAAACTATAAGAAATGCACACTAATCAATGCAAATACTTTAAGGTTATGTGAAAAAATATTTAAAGGAATCAGCAAAAATAGTAATACATAATTTCTGGGCAGCGGTCTATTTCAATTCATTAGGGATATACTGCTTGTATATTTAATGATATATATAAATGTTTTAATTAAATAAGCGATTTTCGGTACTAGGGCTGGAAAATTTTAATCACAACTATAGCTGCCATTTCGACCCTGGACAGCAATGCGTAGCTTTCAGCCTCCAATTAACGTCTGTAAAACTACTAAAACATCGTATTGCGGTGAAAAATATTTGCCAATCATACTCAATCGACTCGGAACACTGCAGTTCCTGATTTAATTAAGGATATTATTAAAAAGTACTCGTGCAGTAATCAATTAAACAGGGTAACGAATTGAAGGATAGATACAACTAGACTATAAGGACGCAAAATACGCGTAGGTACAACTAGACGTAGGGACTACTAGACGGAGGGACCACTAGTCGTAGGGACTACTAGTCGTAGGGACTACTAGTCGTAGGGACAACTGGTCGCATCCGTACAAGCTAGGTGATAGTACTTGTCGGTGGGATACACGTCTAGTTGTACCTCCTAAAAATCTGCAGGTACAACTAGTCGGGTGAGCCACCGTCTACTTGTACCTACGTCTAGTTGTACCTACGACTAGTTGTCCCTAGGCCTCGAGGTACAAGTAGACGTAGGTACAACTAGACGGAGGGACAACGAGACGCGGTCCCGCTTCAACACACCACTCTGTTTCCCAGACATTATTTAGGGTGAAAACAAACATACAAACACAACAGGCTACCTACATTAAAAAAAATTAAGTCAGTATGGACACAGAAAACGTACTACTATAACCCAGAATGCCAACCGCATGGTAAAAAGCATTAAGCGGTTTGAGAGAGCTTTGCCTGTCAATCCGTAGGCAGCACCACCAGCGTTGCCATGCAATAGCATAGCAACGCTGGTGGCGCTGCCTACGGATTGACAGGCAAAGCTCTCTCAAACCGCTTAATGCTTTTTACCATGCGGTTGGCATTCTGGGTTATAGTAGTACGTTTTCTGTGGTATGGACCAAGGATGATGCAAATAAAAAATATAAACTCTATATTTGCAAATATCAAAAAATGTTCATGGATTTAAAGACACAAACATAACTGTAAACAACCTTGCTTTGTCTGTTTTCATCGTCTATAACAGCTGACTAACTAAAGTAGTCATGCACCCTAATTCTCGTGGAACTTCGGGCCGGAGACTACCTGCTTAGCGTTCCTTAATCCTTACCATATGTCGACTTCAAAATTAGACAAGATAGCACCAATTAGTGTGTTTAATCAACTGTAAATATGAATCATTTGAATCATCATTTGGAATTACTTTTTTAAGCTAAACTCAATGCCGCAATCCATTTTTTGTCATCAAGTTTTCTTTATGAAATATTTCAATTTTGTTGTTAAAAATTTCAACATATCAAAACCAAAATATGAAAATTAAAAACGGATCAAGGAATTGAGTTCGGCTTAAAAAAGTAATTCGAAATGATGGGTCACATCACCCCCTTCACATTTTAAATAATTTATCACATTTCAAAATGGGGGATCCAAGATGGTGGCCAAAAAATTACATCCGTCATAACCAAGTGAAAGTAGGTCGACAATTACTGGTGGTGTATACTTATCTTTATCTAGCACTATTTTGAGACTATGGCCTTAAAAAATGCACAATGTAAAAATGGGCAAAAAAAGTTTTTAAAAGCCCTTATATGTTTGGAATGGATCAAGATTTTTCAAAATGGCATTTTAATCAGGGTAAAAATTTAGCTCGAAATAATGGGTCACAACCTTTACATTTGAAAAAAAATATTTTGCATCCAATTTGGCGAATCCAAGATGGCGGCCGGAAATGGCCACCTAGTCAAAATGAAGTGCTTGCTACCCAACAATGTTTGGAAGTGGTCTGGGATTGATATTTGAAAAAATGAAGAAAAAAGTTGGGGGAGGGCAATTAAAACTCACCCTGTATATATGTTTTTGCTTTATATATAAACTACAGAGATATAAATGAAATTATATTTATCGTAATACAGGGTGGCTGAAAAGTAACTTGCACCCCACCTTAACTTTTCAACCATTTGAGATAATTGAAATGTGTTTGCGGCAACCTTCTTAGATATTAAGGGCTACAATAATTATGGTCAATTTTGCCCATAGGGGTAGTAAGGGTAGGGGGTAGGTAGCTCAAAATGTTCAAATGACAAGTATAGTCGAGTTTGGTATCATTTTACAGATTTGACGAAACATAAAAATTTACATAAAGAAAACCAAAATCGGCCCACTTATAATAACAAAATGGCGCCCTAAAACGTTTCAAATCCAAATAACCATGAGGGTGGCTGAAATTTAACTTGCACCCCCTTTAACTTTTTAACTATTTGAGATAATTGAAATTGGTTTGCGGCAACTTGTTTGGATACGAAGGGCTACAATAATTATCGTCAGTTTTTAGAATTTTGCCCTTAGGGGTAGCGAGGGTATGGGGTGGTTCAAAATAGCAAGTATAGTCGAGTTTGGTATCATTTTACAGGTCTTGACGAAACATAACAATCAACTAACAAAATGGCAGTTAAAAACTACTTTTATAACCATTGTCTTAATCATTTTTAGCTGCCATTTTGTTACTAATGGTCCGATTTCTATTCTCTTTATGTTAATTGTTATGTTTCGTCAAGACCTGTAAAATGATAACAAACTCGACTATACTTGCTATTTGAAAATGTTGAGCTACCCCATACCCTTACTACTCCTAAGGGCAAAATATACTAAACTGACCATAATTATTGTAGCCCTTCATATCCAAAAACGTTTGCCGCAAACCGATTTCAAATATCTCAAATAGTTAAAAAGTTAAAGGGGGTGCAAGTTAATTTTCAGCCACCCTCATGGTTATTTGGATTTGAAACGTTTTATGGCGCCATTTTGTTATTAGTGGGCCGATTTTGGTTATCTTTATGTCAATTTTTATGTTTCGTCAAGACCTGTAAAATGATCCCAAACTTGACTATACTTGTTATTTGAAAATGTTGAGCCACCCCTACCCCCACTACCCCTAAGGGCAACATTTTCATAATTGACTATAATTATTGTAGCCCCTCATATCTAAGAAGGTTGTCGCAAACAGATTTCAAATATCTCAAATGTTTGAAAAGTTAAGGTGCAGTGTAAGTTACTTTTCAGCCACCCTCATGGTTATTTGGATTTAAAACGTTTTAGGGCGCCATTAATTAAATTGCATCATAACCTTTTGTTTTCGGTAGCACTGGTTTTTTTTTACTTTTGATATTTAAATGTTTTCCATAGAATTAATTTTTTATCATTTTAAAATCAATTGCATTCTCATAAACTTGTAAAAATAAATTAATTTGAACAAATAGGCCTACAAATCAGAAGTGTTACAGTTAATTGTGTATATATTTCAAAGGCAGGTCTCAGATCTGGATGCCAGATCTGGACTCATTCCAGATCTGGCATCCCAGATTGGAAAACTAGTCAAACAATTTTTTACTAATTGTACTGTAGTAATATTGTATAACATTTTTTTCAAACTTGTATCAAAACAATTTTATTACAACCTTTAACCAACAGTATCAATACAATTTTAAACTTGTTTGCAGCTTGTATCGAAACACTTTTAATACCTTAACTTATATCAACTTGTTTAAAAAATTTTTATACCAGTTCAAACAGTTTTCATGCCACTTGTGTAGCTTTACTAACTACGACTACCTGTTTTTTTAGTCAGGACCATTTTAAAAGTCAACGATAAAGGACTAAATGAAACATCCGCTAATCAATCAGAGCTGTGTTCTGATACAAATCAATGAATACAAATTGTACAAACTTAGAATACACAAAATGTAAAAGATTTCCCCAGGCCATTACAGTCATATTTAAATCCTCATATTTGAGAAATACATTTGGGTCAAGAGTTGAACACGTTTTGAGAGGTCGAGAAAAATTGTGCAAACATCTTATACAATAAATTTATTTCCTTTAAAACTTTCTTTTCAGAAAGTTTATGTAAACATGTAAAAGGATTATAGAAAATGTTAAAATAACATTTATTTTACTATTTATCAAAACGCTGAGCTCTCTATATTTATCGAGCCTTCAAAATACATGATACTTGCGTTTCAACACAGATGCTAGAAGATTGCGTTGTGCGACTGCAGGCAAGACGAGTTTTGTGATAAATCTATTGATTATCTTCGATTCAATTAGATCGTGAAAAATAAGAAAAGTAGTGAACGTTAATTTTTATTGTCAACGAGAAATTAAGCTCGTTGTAATACATAATACCGGGTGTCCGAATAAGAACTGAAACATTTTAAAGGCAAATACTGATACCAAATAAGAGACTATGTTGAATGTTTTATATATGTATTTAAAGCTTAAATTCTCAAGTTTGTTTAAAGGCTTAGTATAACTTGATATGAGCACCATTAGCGGCCCGGCATAAATCTAAGTGAAATTTTGACCTCTTCCCAGGTTTTGGTCAGTACTTCAGGGGAACGGTGCCATTTAATGTGACATGTTAGATGAGTATTTTTCCCATAGTTGGATGCCATTGAGGGGGAATGGCCCTGACTATTTTTAACAGGATGGAGTGCCGCCACACTACAGTTTGCGTGTGCGAGAAGGGCTGGATACTTGTTCGGCGATTGGTGGATTGGCAGGGAAGAGCCCATTTAATGGCCTCCTGGAGTCCAGATATGACTCCTCTGGACTTTTTTCCTTTGGGGGGCAGTAAAGAATTGTGTCTACTCGGTGCAGATTCAGGATTTGAATCACATCCGACAGAGAATAGTTGCATGTGTTGGTGCAACATCCCCTGAAGTACTAACCAATAAGAGATCAAATTTCGCTAAGATTTATGCCGGACCATTAATGGTGCTCATATCGAGTTATACTAAGTTTCTAATACAACTTGAGAATTTAAGCTTTAAATACATATATAAAACATTCAACATAGTCTCTTATTTGGTACCTATAAGTATTTCAGTATTTGCTATTAAAATGTTTCAGTTCTTTTTCGGACACCCGGTACCTATTTATCACTCATATACTTCTAGTTAAGAACAGTTAGAGTTAATTTAATAAAACTATAATTTTTAAACTCAAAGAGGGGACATACCGGCTGAGAAATACACCAACAGTGACAGTGCCAACAGTATAGACAGTGGGATGAGAGCCCATCTCAACACTCTCCAAGTCAGCACACTCTCAGGACCATCCTCCAGCTTGTAGACACCAGGGCCTGAGCATGGCTTCTGTAACATTTATTTGTAATTATGTCAGATTGCAAGTTCTACAATTTTTGTTATATTATTACCTATATAAGTTAAAATAAAAATATCCATTGCTGTTTTCAGCATATCATAAAATACTCTCCCATGGTTGGCATCAATGGTGGGATCAAAATATTTACGTTAACATTTTTTATTAATATAGCCTCTTCTAATACAAGGCCGCGGCGTGTTTGGCAACGTCGCACCGGCCGGCTCATCGCCATAGCTATAACCATAACAGTGTAGAAACGTCAAAACATAAACATTGCATAGAGTGCAGTTTCAGTAGCCACTTTTCTCTCACCACGGCTTGCATTATAGGGGAGGCTGTGGAAAAGCATTCTAAACCATTTCTTCATTTATTTATTTCTTGTTTGCTTTCGTAGGCTAACTTCAAAGGGGTTTTTTAATTAACATAAATCTTTTACACAAAATACGAATACTAAGTTGTTACGTCAAAACGAGCAACATTCAAAGTATTTTCAGAAACACCCCACGATGATAAACCTCTTCACATTCGACGTAATCCATCACGTGAGACGAGTTGAGAAGGGCGAGCGAGAGCCTTGACCGCGTACACTTTCCTTCTTGCTCAAACACTACAGAACAATGAGTGTCTATTCATGAGGAGTGCAAAGGTTCAGTCCAAAGAAAGTAGGAAGAGTCGATCACGAACACCCGCGCCGCCAACAATCGGCCAGGGATGTTCAGCAATCACGCCAAAGCATGCACAGAACATGAACAAGTTGCAAAATCAGCTGATTCAGAATGTAAAGAATCGAACTAGTATGATGGCTTCTGTCCTCTAGATTTTGACAAAGAAGTAGTAAGCAAACAAGGGGCAGAAAGCCGGGAAGGTATCTAATTTAATTAAGCTGAGAATAAATTGTTTTTCACCACACTATGATGTTTTTGGCTGTATTACATACGTTAATTGGTGGCTGAAAGTTACGTTTTGCTGGCCATGCCAGCTGTCATCGTAATTTGGGGACCGAGCAGGTTTTTACAGGCCGGGGCCGCAAAATCAGCTGTCCGCTTACTTACTTAAAACATAAATGCATTTTAAATACACAATCAAAATCCATATCATTGCAATAGAATTGTGTTATTGTCACCGTTGACTAGCAACTATTTATTTTTATTTTTGCTGATTCCTCAAATTATTTCTTCACATAACCTTAAAGTTGTAGTTGTGTTGACTATCAGTGTGCATTATTATAGTGGTGAATAGTGGTAATAGGGTATAGTGTGGTGAAAAATAGCGTTCGTACCACGGACCGAAATGGTTTTGCAGCTCTCGATCGATTTAAGTTCTCGACTTCGTCTCGAACTTAAAAACTATCTCGAGCCGGCAAAACCTCATTTTCGGCCCTAGGTACGAAATATACTATAACGAACTTCCCACGCAAGGATTTAGTCCAGAAAACAGCTGTTTGCCTCCAGCTTAATCAAATGGTGTTTCATTACGTACTACTGTATTGTAATGAGTTTTTACCGGACACCAACTAGCTGATTATATTTGGCAATGAGTGGCTATCCTCTCTTAAGAGGTTATGAGAGGTTTTGTCTTAAGAGGTTTTGTTTGTTGGTTAGTCCTTTTCTCGGTGGTAATATATAAGGATTTGTACAGATATTTATTGTTAAGTAAGCTTAGAGTAGTATAACGTAAAATATCGTACGTCACTCGCTCAAAATGTGTTTACCGGACTCGTATGGTAATACCGCACTCGACTTCGTCTCGCATGGGAACGACCACACTCGTCCGGTCCCCTATTTTCAGGACTAGTTAACGTATACTATTAAGTCCCAGTGAGTCATAAATTCCAGGACTCGATAGTTTGAAGTTTCCTCGGATTTTACTTAATCTAACACGTAATGTAAACAAGCGGGTGGTCGCAGCGCTTTCTAGCGGAACCGGACAATACTACACGTAGCGAAAGTGACCTTGCCGCCTCCGTTAATTGCTAGCTTCCTATATTTACTGTTATCTCATGTGAGGATCCTGAGGAAGTCTGGAGCAAGGCGAAGGCACGCCACAACGGCCATTGTCACTGTGTGGGCTGTGACAATGTGACAATCAACTGTTATTTAACACACTGTTATTTAACACTAACACTCTTCCATGGACACAGTAGTTGTGAGCGTTTGCGTTACTGGGTATTTTGGATTAGGCAAGGGTGGGTTCTATGCAAACAATGTATATAAAGAACTAAAAGGACTTCTTGGTCTAGTCTCTTTACAATTTTCTTCCAAAACACTTTACAATTTAGGTGAGTTCAAAGCGGACTTGAGTCATAACTAATCATCAACCGGTAATGCAGCTCGTGTTCGGACTACTTGGCCAAGTTTTTTTAAATGCCGTTTTCGTATGTGTTGGTGTTATTGTGTCCCACAAGAGTATATATAAATGCTGACGACTTCATGCATCAATGAGAACGGTGTTTAACGTTCTTAAACCTGAAGATGTGCTCTTAGCCGCACAATACAGCAGGATCAATTGACGCAACAGGTAATCTAAACCTTTTTAATCTTGAAATATCTTGATCCATAGGATGACCCATTATGAAATTTATATAACTGGATATCTGAGGGGATATAGTTTGCAAAGTAGATTGCCTGTTTTATCCTGAGACTAAAGTTAAAATAATTAATATGAATCTGTGCTGGCAGCAAGACACGTCAGAAGAAAATAAAGACAAATCTACCATGTTTCTAGAAGTTTCCTAAACGCCATGAACCAATAATTCTAATCGCCAATATTGTAATGTTTCATGTAAGAAAATGGTTAAAAAATGTGGCTAGATGATCTTCATTCTTCATATTGTGCCTTTGATAAATGGTCCTAGTTAAATACCTTGGTCAGTATAGGGTAAGGACACTGAACAAGAATCTGAAATATGTAACAGGAGAAGAAGGGTAAAGTGAAAAAGTGGTAAAGTGGAAAGTAAGTATCACACTATATAGACGCGGGAGCGGAAAAGAGAACAAACACAAAGAATCCCTAAAAAAAACTTGCCACAGAACCTGCAGATACAGAAGAAGAACTAAATAGCTAGCCAAAGTGTACTTGTAAAATGAAGAATTTAATTTTTTTACTACAATTAAACAATACCACCTTACAACAGTGCAAAAGGTATTAAAAAATATGATCCATCTCGTAGAAACTATAAATCTTCAGAAATTGGTAAAAATCCGCCAACAAATTAATTATTTAGGCAAAAGATTGATTAATTGTTCATTTTCACGTTTCTGTATAAGAGTTATAATTTATTATTATTATCAACAGTTAGGGGGGGACGCCATCTATGTGCGTATTTAAAATGAAGATTTGCCTTGTGTAACTTAGTCACTGACCGATCAAGGACAGCTGGTCTAATAAAGAAACATAAAGAAAAGTTACTAACATACTAGATGGAACAGTTGAAGTCATATCTTAAAAGGAACCCACCAAAATATCTAAGTCCTGCTGCAAGTGCGATAATCGATATCAGTAAGTCGAACACTTCCAGGGTCAGATCACACAGTGACTTACAGGTGATATAAGTCACTCGCCTCAGATCAAAGGCAGCCAATAACAACCGTCATGTGACAAGGACACCCTTGAACTGAAGATTGTCTATTGTGTCCTGCAGTGTTGGGAAGTAGCGCGCTACAAGTAGCGACGCTACAGTAGCGCGCTACTTTTTTTGTAGCGTTAGCTGTAGCTACGCTACTTTTAAGATTTTGTAGCTTTAGTTGTAGCTAGCTACATTTTTAAAGTAGTTGTAGCGGAATTTTAGCTACTTTTCTAGCTACATTAACATTGTTTGAGATAGTGATTTTTATCATAACCTCAACCTTACGTGAAACAACCTCTTTCAAACTGAGGTTTTCAAAAAATTAGGCCTACTTTCTTGGCTTCATACAGCTGGTTGCAGCCGTTTCATTCCCTATTACAACGTTGTGTGGACATGGAGGCCATTAATTGAGTGTTATCCACATTTTTGGCTCTCATTTCCTTAATTTACTACTCTATGATTACTGTCAGACAAAATAAAATCGCTAGATACAGACGACTTTTAAACGTTACCGGTGACAAGAGAAGCTATTGAATGCTTGCAAGTGATTGACAGGGAAATTAGTAATCAATTTAGTTTCTTTATTATATCGATAGTGTTACAACTTGAGTTTTAATGGAAACCAGCACTAAACCTTAAAATAATGAGAAAGCTGGTCTATCAACCTTTGCTTCAGCTGTTGATTGTGGTTCATCATCACAAGCCCTTCCTTGGTTAGATTACGAAGATTTTTCAAAGGTTTACTAAATTAACGAAGAGGAAATTACCTGATGAGATTTAAGATATGCCTACACACATCATAATTGTAACGAAACAATCTTCTTATAACATGCAACTTACATTGAAAAAATAGCATAGTTTGCTCTTGTAACAGTTCTTGTAGAGGATTATTCCTAGGCTATGCTAAGGTTTACGACGAATACCAAGTTCCAAGTTCGATTATTAGGAATATATCTGTTTAGTCCTTGCAAGAACAAGCCTACTACAACCAACTTGTTACATAGCCAAGTAGGCCTACATGTTATTTTTACTTTAAAAATTTCAACATGTTTAAATTAAAAGCCGATTTCAGGATACGTTGCTGAATACTGTTTTTTGTACCAACTAGGTTGAAGCACAATTTGCCCTATGCGTTATGACAAAAGAGGACGATTTCTTGACATTGAAAAGTGTTATTCATAGAACAGTATCTTATCACTATATGATGGTTAAAAGTTATAGCAATGTCGTTTTTAACATTAAAAGTAAAGAAAGGCAATAAACTCCAATTTCAGTAGGCTAGGCTCTGTAAAAAAAACATTTTTAAATCATTGTTTTACAGTTTTATTGGTCTTAATTGTTGATATAAGACATGTATAAATGAATCTATATTAAAGAAATAAAATGGGCTTTTAAAATATAGTTTGGTTGTATGTCCTTTGAACT